AAAAAAAAACACTTCTCATATTTATATAAACATTTTTCATAAATTAAATGTTAAACATATTAAAAGATTATATATTATATTTCCTTATTAAATGATTAGTCAGAATTACCAACACAATCTCAATATCATGGCAGTTTATCACTTTTTGACTTAGCTAACTTGTATGAATTCGTGTGATCTTATTCTTACAATTTAGTTTGCTCAATTAGTGGTGGGGTTGGGTTGGGTGCCATGCTGCTTTGTTAAAAATTGAACATTTTTATATGACTGAACTCTCATGAATTTGTAGTATTAGCCACTAAACTGACAAAACAAAGTAGTTAAGTTTCCTCGTGAGATCAGGCTGGAATTATTCACCATTACATTGTTTCAATCACCTAAGCAATTTGTTCATTTTAATACACAAATTAAGATATTTTAGTTGAAATCCGAGAGCTCTCACATCCTTCATAGACGGCAATGGTCACAAGATATTCAAAATCCAGAAAAGGAACCAAAACAATGAAAATATTTCATTTGACGTGAATAAACAAACATCATACGACACTTCTTTAACAATTATGTATGCCAAAAAATGCTGTAACAATTGCTTTAATTGCTTTTGTCTCCTGTGTCATATCTGGGCGCACATTTACTAGAGCAATATGACCTTAGCATGCTGTGCTATTGTCCTGTGGTAAACACTGTGGTACCTACAAAGTCATATTTAAACAAAATTGGGGCACAAAAGTGTTAATGAAGTTTAATGGATTATGATTACAGTTGAACCACTGAAGTCACATGGAATGTTTTGACATTTTTTTAAGATTTCCAATGTAAAATATTATTATCAAAGGATTATAAGGATTATTATTATTATTATAACAGCTTTTAATAAAAATGTTCATTAAATGTTCATCACTGGGAAACATCCATACACACTCATTTACACACATACACTACAGTCCATTTTAGCATAACCAATTCACCTGTACCATATGTCTTTGGACTTGTGGGGGAAACCGGAGCACCAAGAGGAAACCCAAGTGAACATGGAGAGAACATGCAAACTCCACACAGAAATGCCAACTGACCCAGCCGAGGCTCGGCCTGACATGCCCATACATATAGTTGAAGTCATAATTATTACCATTCTTCAATTTTTTTTTCTTCTTTTTTAAAATATTTTCCAAATGATGTTTAACAGAGCAAGGAAATTTTCACAGTATGTTTAATAATATGTTTTTCTGGAGAAAGTCTTATTTGTTTTATTTCGGCTAGAATCAAAGCAGTTTTTAATTTTTTAAACACCCTTTTAGGGACAAAATTAATACCCCCTTTAAGGTATATTTTTTCTCGATAATCTACAGAACAAACCACTGTAATACAATAAATTGCCTAATTACCCTAACCTGCCTAGTTACCCTGATTAACCTAGTTAAGTCTTTAAATGTCACTTTAAGCTGTATAGAAGTGTCTTGAAAAATATCTAGTAAAATATTATTTACTGACATCATGGCAAAGATAAAATAAATCCATTATTAGAAATGAGTTATTAAAACTATTATATTTAGAAATGTGTTGAAAAATGTGTTGTTGCTTTCTGTTAAACAAAAAATTGGGGAAAAATAAATGATCAAATAATTCAGGGGGGCTAATAATTCTGACTTCATCTGTACATCTCTACATACATTACAATTCTATTTCATATATAGGTTACATATTTTATGTCATTCATAAGAATGTCCTGTTGTTGGGGGAAAATCTGCCATCATTTGAGCATGGTTCAAATGTCAAAAGCATTTTTTGTTATGCTTGACAAGTCTTATCTCTGTTTACAAATCTGCCTGTTAGATGAAATACTTAAAAAAAAATGTGGATTTCTAAATGCTAACAACAGAAGGCCATGACATAGAAAAAAGAAACGCTGCATGCAGCCACACTGATTTGAAATGTTTCACAATGCTTAAAGAATACACTTCAAAATAACACACATATTAAAATGAAAAAGCACCCATTTTTTTCTATTCCTGTGCACTGAGGCAGGAAGGATTCAATAAATGAATCACTGATGGAGAGATGAATGATGTCATTCTCACTGGAATGATATATAATTTGTGCCACAGGAAATTAAAACAGGGACTTTGTATGTCCCCAGGAGACCTACTCACACACATGTACATACACACGCACGCATGCACGCACGCACGCACGCACGCACGCACGCACGCACGCACACACACACACACACACACACACACACACACACACACACAAACGATTGAGTATCTAAATGTAGACTTTGCACAGTCTTCTTTTTTATAACACACAGCTATATTTAAATAAACTGTTAAACTAACATTTATGCTTTTATATTACACTATTTATATACCTAGGCACCAGTATAATGATTAGACCAAAAACTGCTTGATTATTGAATTGGTGACATAGGATGGATTTTAAAGTAACATTTGTGACCACATTTTTTTAATGTAATTTATCATTCAACAAATATAATCAACTCTTTTCAAAAATAAATTTTTAATCCCTTAGCAATCATACCACACTGTAATGGTGTAAAGTTAACTATGAAACACCACAAGCCTGACTTGAGCAGGACATACACAGGTGTTGTTTTTACACAGTTTATGAAATGTTGTAATCAATCAGGCCAATATAACTAATTTAATGATAGTTTGTGGCACAAATGCCTACAATATCACTCATCAAATTTAAGAAAAGAGGCCAAAAAATGTCCCTGAACAAAAAATGTAAATCCTCAATCATCACAGTTAAAGTAAAAACTAAAATAAATCAATGAAAAGTGTGCTCCTTGGTGTGAAGCAATCATGCTAACCACTTAGTCACTCTGCCACCTTTGGTCCTACTTTAAGTGTCCTTAACTACAATGTACTTGCTTCAAAATATAAATACAAAGCGCTTAATGTGTTCATCGTGTATAGCAGAACACATCTGGTGCTCTTGAGGTGAGATGTGGGTAGGGTTAGGGACAGATTTGGTGTTATGGGTAGGTTTAAGGGGGATTTAAGGTGTAATTGAGGGTCAACAATGCAATTATAAATTTAATAACAGATTTAATAAAATGCAGGTATTTAATTAGACAAATAATAATTTAAAAACACACATTTACACAATAAGTACATTGTAACAAATTACTAACTTCAATTTTTCAGTAACCTATTGTGTTTATTAACATCTACACCTACAACTACACCCACCTAAATCGTCTCCTAGCATTTTTTTTATTTCAGTAGCCACAGCCATTCTCTCCCCAACTTACTTGTGGCATAAATGTCTCTCAACCTATTTGAGGTGTAAGTCTATTAAGGTGTAATCTTCTTGGAGGTCTCTAGGCTGCAGCAATATTTACTTTTTATACTCGGCTTTACTGTCAACATGCACATGGATATCACCTTTGATTAAATACTCAGTCCTAATTATTTATGGCTGGCCAGTTAAAACTATTCAAGTGCAATATTCTAATTGGTCACAGGTCTACACACACTTGAAGTCAGAATTATTTTCGCTCCTGTAAAATTTTTTTCTTTTTAAAAAATTTCCCTAATTATGTTTAACAGAGCAAGGAATTTTTTTCACAGTATTTCCTATAATGTTTTTTCACCTGGTGAAAGTCTTATTTGTTGTATTTCAGCAAGAATATATATATATATACATATATATATATATATATATATATATATATATATATATATATATATATATATATATTTATATAAAACATTTTAAGGTCAATATTAGTAGACCTTTAGAACTGTGACTCAATGCAAGCCAACACATATCAGTGATTCAGCATGTACATTTAATAAAGTTGTAGAGGTTTAAATAGTTAACCTTACTATTTTTTTGTTGGAGTGCATTAAGAGTACATATATTTCTGTCGTGTTTCGTCTGGTGCAAACAGCCAAATTGCTTATCACTGCGAATCTCGTCACGTAGTGTATTGTTAGGACACGGGGTTATAATGTAACCTGCTCACCTAATGTTTACGTTAGTAATATTTATATTATTTTCTAATTAATAGCCCCCTCATGTGAAACTCTGAATCTGTGTCTCATTTTAAAGGCTATTACTGTCCACCGGAGGTCGCATTTCGGTCACGGATGCACACTTTGAGAGCCTTCATGAATGAATGAAATACGCAGTTTTCCACAAAGGCAACCCATGGTGCTGAAATATAAATAGATAAATAGGCGGGTTTAAAGACCAAAACAAAGAATATCTGACTTTCAGATGAACAAGAATGTTCACTTGGCATGTTTCTTAAATATTTGCAAACATATAATGATATTTCTATGCTTTAGAAGGGTCAAAAACTTAAATACAGCCCTTTAAGCAATATTTTTGTTTTCAATTCTCTACAGAACTAATCATTGTTATACATTGATTTTCCTAATTACTCAAGCTTGTCAAATTTGCCTAATTAACCTAGTAAAGCCTGTAAATTACAACTGAATAAAAAATTAAAATTAAACTGAATACTAGTATTTTGAAATATATTAAATAATATCTAGTAAAATATTATGTACTGTCATCAAGGCAAAGATAAAAGAAATCCGTAATTAGAAACGAGTTATTAAAATTATGATGTTTAAATTTGTGTTGAAAAAAAATCATTAAACACAGAAATTGAAGAAAAAAAAATGTACAGGGTTTAATAATTCACGAGGGCCAATAAATCTAACTTCAACTGTAGATCAGTTTCAAAAGTGAAAATGTAATGACAGTTTGATCTTAAAAATTTGTAGACCTTTTACATTCACACATTTCAAAAGTAGTATAACAGGGGCACTTCAATACCGTATCTATCCAAATATAATCCTTGCTCGCACAAAATTATGTCAGTTATGCTTAAACTCCACAACATATTTGGAGATGCGTTCGAACATTCTAACTTGTTTGTTGTTTTGTTATTGTGTGGATGATTACAGTGTTTGATGCAAGCTATAAGACTGACACTCTGGATGAATGTGTGCACTCACTGAATGGAGTTCTCGATGCGGGAGATAGTGAGGAAAGCAGCCAGATTCGCCGTGTAGGAGGAGATGACTATTAGAGCAAAGAGCCACCAAACCCCCATCATCATCCTGGTAGCCAGAGTTGTATAGGGCACTTCGCCACCTGTAGAAGCAACAAGAGAAAAGAGCAAACAGAAAAGCTTGATAAGTGTGCTGGCTTAAAAAAACAAAAAACAAAAAAAAAACACGCACACAGGAAGCACTTTAAGTTGACTTTATCTAATCAAGAAAGATAAATCTGGCAGCACTAATCCATCATAGGTGGTCATATTATAGATTACAAAGAGTCAGTTTATAAGGGAAAAAACCTTTGTTATCAAGATGGTTTTGCATTTTATTGGTATTGATCTTAATTTTGCTGACTTTATTGCAACCAAAAATGCTGGCACTCTGGTTCAAAACCCCAAACATACTGACATGAAATAATGACATGGTTAAAATAAAAGAAATAAAACAACAACAACATAAAAAGGTATTTTATTCATTTATTTATTTATTTATTTTTCCTTACATAAATCTATTTTGTTAGTATATGTGTCATATGTGTCAAATAATTTTTGTCAGATATTGTAAGATATTTGTTAAGATGTGCATGTGATGATATTAATACAATATAATAATGGGTGACAAGGTGGCTTAGTGGATTGCATTGTTGCCTCACAGCAAGAAAGTCGCAGGTTCAAGTCCTGGCTGTTGGCATTTTCTGTGTAGAGTTTCCAATGTTTGTGTGGGTTTTCCTCTGGGTGATCTGGTTTCCCCCACAGTTCAAAGACATGGGCTAAAGGTGAATTGAATAAACCTAATTGGCCATGTGTGTGGGAATGCTACAGTTTATGGGTGCTTCCCACTATTGGATTGCAGCTGGAGGGGCATCTGTTATGTAAAACATATGTTAAACTTATACATTTTCAAGTTTAACTTTAAACAAAATGTTTATAATTAAATGCAATTACCAAAAAACTAAATTGTTAAAGTTCACTTTAAAATTTACGTTTACTTTAAATTAAAACTTTAAGAAACTAATCTAAAACAGAACATATAAAAATACGAATAATTTTTATTATTTGTCTTTAATATTATTTTTTATTAAAAATTTGTAGTTTAAACTCGTAAGAACTACTGTGAAAAACGGATTATTTGTTAATATTATTGTAGAAGATTACTTTTAAACACTGTGACACTGTAAAAATATCTGTTAACATACGTTTCTATATTGCCTGTAAAAAAAAAAAAAACAATACATTGTCCAGGTTTAAAACAACTTAATTATTTTTCTGTTATTTTTATATGATTTCTTAGATTGTACTTTGTATTAATCATATTAAGATGTCATCTCATTTATGAGAATATCATGACCTGCTTTGGTGTCACTTTACCTCCCATGATCTACAAAGCAAACCATGTTTTTATATTCATATATGTATAAACGAGCAAAATCTTCAGTAGTGCAGCTCCTCTGACAGATTAGAAACAAATAAAAGAATCCGACACGCAAAAACTGAGACTTTAAGTGATGCGAAAAAAAAGAACGAAAAAAACTCACTTTGAAACAGACAAAAAAGACCATCAATTGTAATGTCAAATCTACATTTCCCCAGTCGCCGTAGTCAGAACAAAAACACAACTGTTTATTCTGCGTTTCAGATCCTCGCTAATTCAACAGCCACAGATGACACCGCAATAATGATGGATCTGCGCCATCCAAAGCTCAGAGCTACACTGAAAAACCATTAAAAATTAGTCCCATCTATTCTCGTGGCTTCCCGTATATCTTTCCAGCCTCGTGTGGAAAGTGCCAGGCATTGCAGCACTCAATAAGCTTTCTGACAACTGTGTTTCTGTAGGGCGTCCGCCGAGATGAGCTGTCTTATTAAAGAAAGTTTTTTAGATGACTCGCATACATCCGTCCCGCAGGCTGTGTACTCGATGCGCTACACAAACTTTGTGCAGTTTTAATTTCACAAAGCACATGATAGCTGAAGTTGGCCCACACTTTTCTTAAAATTTATATATATAAATATATATATTTTTTTCCCATTGCATTATGAGATTTTAAGGTTAGGGCGTATCCTATTTAAATGGCAGTGCTTCCTTCATCTGCTATGTAAACCTCAGAGATTTTGGGCTTCAGTTTAAGCAAATATCAAAGAAGACTCGCCAAGCTCCTTCAGCTGACTGTGGTGGTACAGTAATTGCACCCACTGTTATTTATTTGCTCGAGTCCTCTGTTGTTTTAGTAAGTTGTTTGCTAAAGGAATTATGGAAATGATGAGACTAAAACACAAAGACACACACATATGAAATAATTATATATATATATTGTTTATTTATTTCACAAAAAAAGAAAAGTGAACATTAACCAACATTCCCCAATAACTTAAATGTATTTTTCATTAGTGGTCCCTTTTGCCAGATGTTAAAGGCCTATACCAATAAAAATACAAACTATGAAGAAAATCTATACACTATATAAACAAACTATAAGCATCGGCTGGGTCAGTTGGCATTTCTGTGTAGAGTTTGCATGTTCTCCTCGTGTTTGTGTGGGTTTCCTCTAGTTGTTCCGGTTTCTCACAAGTCCAAAAAAACTTGTGGTATAGGTGAATTGGTAAGCTAAATTGTTCGTAGGTGTGTGTGAATGAGGGTGTATGGATGTTTTCCCAGTGTTGCTGTGTAATCCATATGCTAGATAAGTTGGCAGTTCATTACACTGTTGAGACCTTAAATTAATAAAGAGACTAAGTCGAAAAGAAACTGAATTAATGAATGAGTCCAACATCCAGCTGTTCAAGAAAGCATACAATCTGACTTGAAGTCATCTTTCCTTACTGTAATGTTTTTAAATAAATAAAAAAAAAGACAAATATCTTTTATTCTACATAAAAAACAATAAAAAGGTGTGAAGCACCAAAAGTGGCCCATCTTATAATTATTTGAATAATTTGGCCATAAATTTACTAGAGGCTGTTTATTAGAGTATATATATATATATATATATATATATTATAATTATGTGCTGGCCAGTTTGTTATTTGCCTTGTAAATAACAAAAGGCTAGTTTTTAATTAAAATTTTTTACAGATTTGTATTTTAAAAATAAAAATGTATTCATTTTTCTTTATTTTAAATCTTTTTTTTTTTTAAATGGTTCATTAAAAAGTAATCCAACAAGCTAACCCATCTAAAATTTTACTTAAAATATCACTGAAAGGCAATATTTATATCTCATAATTAAACAGAAAATTGAGGCAAATAATTGCAAAAAGGTCTTTTAGAGTAAAAAAAAAGGTACCCCTTTCACAAGCTTGCCTAAGGGCTTTTAATTAGTTCATTATGCATCAAATCTTCATTTGTTAGGCCATTTAAGAAATGTATGGACACCATAAACAAGGTAAAAGGACACAAAAAGTAAGTAAATTAAATAATAAATACATGTGACTGAGTACATTTACATGGACACCAATAATCCTAAAACAAAACTCTACTTTAGAGTCTACCATGTACAGTAAACAGCAATATGTGGTTAATTGAATCTGACATGTGGAGTATGCCAATTTTAGACACATCATTGAAGTGCACTACAGACATGTAAACACCACAATAAAACTATTACTATTGAATTAAAAGTCATGACTTTTCACCACATTATGGACAGGACAGTCCATACACACACAGCTGTTTGAAACAATTTTTTGCACCTACCTAATCAGTAAAGGTTTTTTTTTTCCATTCGGTGTGCAGGTATCAAATTCCATTAAAACAGTCATGAGAGCATGAACAAAATGTTCCTAATTGAAAGTGAAAGTGCCAAACTGCAGTTAAAGTCGAAAAATTAAAAATGAAACTCTAGAAATTACATGAAACTCCAGAGGAAACATTGGATAATGTCATGATGTAATGACATTAATCAAACTAGGAACATTCAAAAATAAACTCCGTAATCCTTTTATTGTCTTATTCAGATTGAGGCAAATAGTTTGTTTACTGATGTCCATGTAAACGTAGTCACTGATAGTTTGTGGCACAAGACAGTTCAGAGTTAAAAAAACAATCATCATATTTTACCTTTTACATTTAATAAAGGTTAAGCACCCATCAGGCAACAACAACAACAACAACAACAAAAAGACAATTAAACTTTAGGTTGCTCAGTCTGTAAATAAAACAAGGCTGAAATTTTGACTGATTATCCTCCTACCCAAGCACATCTGTGAAATGAAAAATAATCACACGAACAAAACCAACATCTGTAAGAGTTCTCGGTGAGAACATTTGTTGAGAATTGAGGCAGTCGACTAAAAAGCTCATTTCCATATTCAGCGGTGCTTCAAAAAGAAGATGATAGTTTTGTACCAAAGGAAAGTGGATGATAATGCAATAAAATACAAATTGTAGCAAAGACAGGAGGCATTACAAAGGATCATAACCTACAGTACTTCTGATATCCCGAAGCGAATGTGTCACAACAAGAAGCAGGATAAATGAAGAAAACGCTTTTCTCTAAAAACAGTTTATGAAAATACATTATTATTATTTGTATTTTTGCTCAGAATACAGCGCAGCATCTCTGGCCTGAAGCCTGCGAGAGCAAATGAATGTGCAAAATAATGAGTCTGAGACTTTATAAACGTAAATTAGACTCAACGCATCCAGAGGAGGCCAGCTACATGTGAAGTTTGCAGTCGGTGGTTAGGGAAACATTACTGTAATAATATGTCACATAAAATAGTTATAAAAAGTCCAATCTCACACTTGTATGGATACATGAGCAACGCTAAGCTGCAGAAAGGGAAATGAAAAAGTTTTAAAATAAACCGCTGTTAGAGATTAATCATAACATTTTATGCTAAAATAATTCTGCAGGCTGGAAACGTTGACTGCAACCAATGTCTTGAAAGATTACGTGTTGGTGTGTGAACATAAAAGCCTCGAAATGTGTCTTTGAGTACAATGCAGCACAGAAGAGGTTGAGTATATGTCTGTAATGCATTTTTTAAGGGTACGTTTACAAGACAATAAATTAAAAAGGAAATGTTTTTCCTATGTGCTTTTAAAGTGGTTTGTGTACAGACGATGGCGTAGTCAAAGTAATCCTTATTTACA